CAAGTTGTACATCTTCATCCCTCATGGTCAATAAACTTCAAGTTGTACATTCTTCACTTTCATGTCCATAGACCCCAAGTTGTACATGTCTCATCTTCATGTCCTAAACCAAGTTGTACATTCTTCATCTTTCTGCGCATAACACAAGTGTACATGTCTTCTCTTGCATGTCCAGAAACTCAAGTTGACATTCTTCATCTTCATGTCCATAAACCAAGGTGTACATCTTTCATCTTATGTCCATAAACACAAGTTGTACATTCTTCAATCTTCATGTCCAATAACACAAGTGGTACATCTCACTTTCAGTTTTTTTTGTTTTACATGTCCAAAACACAAGTCTGTACATTCTCATTCTTTCAATGTCCATAAACTCAAGTTGTACATTCTCCATCTTTCATGTCAATAAAACAAGTTAACATTCTTCACTTTCATGTCCATAAACACAAGTTTGTCTTCAGTTTGATTTCAGTAGTCTTTTTATTCATCACTAATTCAGACTAACGTCTTCTAACTGAATTATTGTCATTGTTCTAAACAAGAGGTGATGAGGGTCGAGACAGATGTCACCTACCTTGTTTTCCTCCCTCTCTCCCTAGAACACGTCTCCAGTCCACGAAAAAGTCGAAGGTCCTTGGTCCTTTGAAGTAAAGCTAGCGGTAAGCTAGCACAAGAATGAAAAGGTTATCGAGTTGCTAATTTCTAAAAACTGAAGCCGACGCCTGTCGCCGACGGGAGGAAGTGGCAGAGTCTGATAATTCATAATTCTGTGGTCGCAAACAATAATTTCTTTGATGAAATACCGCATAAATCTTTATTCGTTCCACGGACCAACCAACCAAATTCGAGTTTTGACAAGAGCTGTTACTGAATATCTAGAGCGTGCGTTTTTCCGACACAAAAAGATTGAGGTTGGGATTCGTCCGGAACATATGTCGTCCTCCAATTGCCTCTACAATTGAGTGTGCTTGTCGAGATCGAAAAGCATATCTCAACAGCCATAACTAGCAACTTCTCCGGGACTGTGTGTTTGAACAATATACATTTGATTCTAACGAGGAAATAACTAGGGGCGCTCCTGAAGTCAACAAGCGTCGTCGCTTCCTGTCCGTCCCACTTCTGTCCTCTATATAATACTCTTCCCATAAAAATGAGTTTGAGATACCAGAAAACCCAGTCAGAACAGGAGCTGTTGGCAAGGTCAATCCCCTGGCGGACACAACGCAATACAATGTGGTGTACAATGACATGACTCTCTCTCGTCATGTAGTATAGTGGCGTGGTTGACTTACGACCCAGTTATTGGCGACGACAAACGATTTTTGTAGTGCAATACGTGAGGTCATATAAGTCTCTGCCCAGAGGTCTGTATCTAACTATCAGTAAAAGAATGTTGGCAAGTAGGCACTGAAGTGTGAATCTCCCAGATAACGAGTCTGGGTTCTTACGGCACCATTCAAACTTCATTAAAACCTACAGGCCAGAACTCTTTAGACACGTGTTTGTGTTTGGGTTCTAAATCCGAACAAGCTTTGTCGCTACCCCTCTGTGTCGATTACTTTCTTGACCCTTGAATTTTTAGTTATGTAAGTCCCCCGCCCTGATGCTGTTCCATTTATTGTTCACTATTATGTAAGTCCCCTTCTATCTATTCCCACAACAGATAAAAATTGCTAGTCAAAGGACAGCAGTGAAAAGTGTTATTTCACGTTCATTGTTTCAAACGTACGGAAGAAATTTTCATTACAATGTCAACTAGAAGTACTGTTTGTGTATAACCAACATATATTTATCTACGTAACCACAATATACTTTTTATTGTATAGGTTGTTTAGGTGACAAGGTACTACTTGGTGTGTGTGTGTGTGGTATGGACATATGAGGGAAGTCCCCTGTAAGTAACGGAAAGACGAAAGGACCTCTGAAAGGATTGGAATGGTATTGGTTGTACGGATGGATTGGGATTGGTTCAGAAATGGGATTTTACTTACTAAGAGGAATACCCCTGGGAGGTAAACAGAGGGTATCCCCGCTCAGGGTGTGCCTGACACATCTGTAAAATCCTAGGGTGTTCCACCTCATTCGACCCCGTTTGGTTGTGGTGTGTGTGTTTGTTAGGTTTGTAATGGTGGTGAATAAGTACACTGTCACAAGTGGTAATTGAGGAAGTCCGGTAATGACAACCAGGAGTGAGAGACAGCAACTCTCTGCGTGTGCGTGGGTGCGTGTGTGTGTGTGGGCCGTTTGTGTGCTGTGCGTGGGGTTTGTGGGTGTGGTGTGTGTGTGTGTGCGTGTGTGTGTGTGTGTGTGTGTGTGGCATCCCTTGTCTGCTTCGGTGTCGTTGGACGAGGAGGAAGTGTCGGCCGTGAAAAAAGGGTACTCGGAGAGACCGAAACAGAGGAAAAGTGGGAGTGGAATGGAATGAAAGACAGACAAAGTGGAGTGTAAGGGGAGTAAAGAGAGAGAGAATAAAATGAGACTAAACTAACAAGGACAGTGATAGGGAGGAAGAGGATTGGTTGTGATGTAGAGAATGAAAGATTTTCGCTGGGAGTATCGTCAAGGAGAGCTTAGTCTTAGTCTGTCCATTAATGGTCCATCCACCATTGGCTAACCACCACGATGCATGTTTTTAATTTTGTGCTCTATCTTTTGATACTCTTTAAATTTTTATACTTCTTATATAATTTTTACACGTCATAAATTAACTTATACTAAACTAGCATGCTTTATCTTAACCTCATTTTATACACGTCCTTACTTTTTGATTTATTAACACATGTAACAACACGTAATTACAGAGAGATGAAGTGGAACCGGACAACTCCCAAATATTTTGTAATTTGTAATTTTTGGGAAGAACTTTCTTTGCGTGTTATTTATTGGAAATTTTTTTTTGTTCTTTGTTACTTCCCTTTGATTTCCTGTCTCCTCAGACTAGATGTTACCTCTTTATGTTTAGGATTAACTCCTGTGTAATCGTATCGATCCGTCTTCAATTATTCAATGTAAGAGTTGCATCGCCTCTCAGAAAGGTAGACTAATCTAAATTTTTATGGGCCACTCGGCGATCCAATTACTTAAGAAAACCTGTGTAAAGTGCGAAAAGGAAAAATGAGAAGGCCTAACTGGCAAGAAGGAGCTCCAAATTAAAGGGAGACTGGAGTTTAGAGGTTGCTACCCCCTCGTCTAGTGTGCCCTGAGCAGGAGAGTGGTGGCTGTGGTTGTCAGGCCACACACAGACAACACACACACACACACACACACACACAACACACACACACCACAGGGACGACACACCACACTAGGACACACACACAACACTACACAACACACACACACACACACACACGACACACACACACACACACACAACACACACACACACACACACAAAAACACACCACACAACACACAGCACACACACACACCACACACACACTCTCTCTCTCTCTCTCTACTCTCTCCCAAAACATAATTCGGAAACAAAGTGACGAGGGCAGAGCGTGATACTACCAGAAACAGAAGTACAGAGTACAGAACAACTGGAGACGGTGGAGAGAGGGAGAGAGTAACAACCGATTGCAGTTAAAAAGAGAAAGGGGAGAAAAGAAACGACACAAAACAGTGACAAAAGGGAGAAGTCGAGAGAATTTTCCTCCGGGATAAGAACGAAGAACATCCAGAGATTTTATGGGTTATACCTTCATAACTCGCATTATACAGGGAATTGGGAATCTACGATTCAGCCACAGAAACCTGGCCAACTCACCAAAAGAATCTCATAGAAACATTAACGTAAAAAAATAGTAAAGTAAAAGATCGATCTCTACAGGGCTAGGCTAGTGCACTAGGCCCCCTAGCCTCGGTTAGTGCACTAAAAGTTTTCAGCCATAGCCCCTCTGTTCTTTAGGCCCCTAGCCCTAAAAAAAAAATATTATGAAAAAAATTGTACAACATAAGTTCCAACCGGCAATCCTGTTGTAACCATCACTGTACAAGCTTCAGAATAACTACTCAGCTAGACCTCCAAACCCAAAACCAAAGTGTACATGCCTGCTACATAGCGTACCATACACAACGAAGAAACCCCGAACAGAAAGTATCTGAACAAGAGCCGTTAACCCGTTGTCTCCCCACCCGACCCACACCCGATTAACATCAGCTCCACCTTCCGATTGCCCCTAACCGACTATTCAGACAATCCCAACACACAAAACTAGGCTCTACACCACACCGTCGTTACTTGACCTAGACTTACGACCGACCAGCTTCTTCATACTTCGACTCACGGATACAACCTATCTTAATAGGGCTCTACAATTTATTTTTTTAGTT